ACTGCGCCACCCAGGCGCCCTCAGCACAGTTTTCAAAACTACACATTCAAACTGAGGAGACTCTAATAAGCTTTCACTTTCACAACTAAAGAGTAATGGAAATTTTTTAAACTGAAGAATTTCAGAATGAGAAAAATAGGTTTTGTTACCTAATGTAGAATATGGTTACATCAATTTGTGCTGAAAAATTTAAATTCACTGAAATAATATTTTATTATTATTAAATTCACCGAACTACTATTGAAACCTCTATAACTGTGATAACCTAGATCTTTTAAAACTCCTTTTGAGTAATGCTGTTCTTTCAGGCACAGCTGCTGTTTATTATTGAAAAGTATAAGAATAATTATGCCGTAAGGATTATTCTTTAAAGTTTGGTTTATTTTTAGGCAGTCATGAGACGCTCATGTGCAATCCATAGCAGTTGAGAGAAATCAATAAGGAATTGTTCATGTGGAACAGTATCTGGCTACTTTGGGGCAATGAGCAGTTGATCCATTACTTTAATTGGAAGACTTTTCATTCCGTCGTTATTTTAGGTTAATCAAAACTAACCGAATGTGTATGTCTCTGCAATTCTTTATAGCCAAAATGTACCTTGAGACAGACCCTTCTGGAAGAGACAAGAGGACACCAATTGTCATCGTAAAACAGGGCCATGAACCACCCACATTCACGGGCTGGTTCCTGGGCTGGGATTCCCACCGGTGGTAAACTGGTTTTTGTAGGAAAAACCAAACAAATATTATGGCGCAACTGTCCCATTGCTGTTTTGGGGGAAGGAAGGTTTTTGTTGTTTGTTGTACTTTAGAAAGTTAACTTCAGCCGTATGGCTATTGTTTTTGTGCCTAATATTGGTTTGAAATTCTTTTTAACTAGAATTTTCTTATGTTAGTATTTTAAAATAACCTAAAGTAAATTTTTGTTATGGACCAAGAGTAGCTCTGCTGGAAACTGGGATTTATATCTTTTTATATGAAATCTGTGCATAATCTAGGGGAGTTTATCAGGGAATTTTATAAATCAGGAGTCATTAGCCAAACTTTTTCTTTAATATGCCAGAGAAGTAAGCCGTAATGCCTTTGAGGCTATTCTCCTATGTGTTGTGTTCAAAAGGATAGTATATTTGTGGTGAGGTTGATGTTAAGGGGGGGTTTAAAAGTTTGTTGTTATTTTGCTTCTTCAGCCAATATGACTCTGACACCATTAACTCCCAAGTGTCATTTCCTAAGAGTAACTTTACCATGTTTGCCTTTTTAAAAAACTTTGAAATCACAGCTTTTTCATGACAAAATAGTCTACCTAGATATACGTATTTGACAGTGCTTGTTTAATACCACAAAGGCTATGTACAAAAAAATTCATTCATGCTGTCTTTCATCATTAAAATAACCTCTTTTTGAAAGGGTTTTTTGTTGTGACATTTTATTCAAATATGACATGTAAATTAATTACACAATTAGTTTTAAGGTTAAATACTTTTATTCACAAATAAATACAAATTAATCTTTCTCTTAAAAAATTTTTTTAATGTTTATTTATTTTTGAGAGAGAGAGAGAGACAAAGCAGGGAGGGGCAGAGAGAGAGCGGGACACAGAATCCAAAGCAGGCTCCACGCTCTGAGCTGTCTGCACAGAGCCCAACACGGGGCTCAAATTCACAAATCATGAGATCATGACCTAAACCGAAGTCAGACACTTAACTGACTCAGCCACCCAGGCACTCCTCAAATTTAATATTTCTTATTCATTCTCATTAAGTGGTCAAAATTAAACAACCTTTCTAAAGTTACATAATTAAAAAAGATTTTAAATATATTGTGCATCTGAAACCTGGGCCCTGTTAAAAGATAAATTGAGGCATATTAAACATTTCAAGAGTTTATTTGAGCAAAAAATCCATCCAGATTGGGCAGTGCCAGACTAGAAGCAGTTAGGAGCACTCTACCAGAAGGAACTCAGGGAGAGACTTTTATAGAGAAAGAGTAAAGCAAAGTAAGGATATTACTGACTGGTTAGGCTTAAAGTCCAGTTGGCTGTTTGTGATTGGTTGTCCTCAGGTTTTGATTTTGTAACCTTGAGGCATTTACAGGCTTGAATTTGGGTTTGCTTACATAGGTCTCCACAGCATTAGAGCCACATCAGTCTAATGGCCTCCTTGTTTAAATCATTTAACAGACCCCCAAAAAAGGAGTTGGGGTAGAAGGTGGAGATCCAATAAAGTAGAAGCCAACTTTGGAAGTAGGCCAGAAGGTGGCTCATTGAGGAGCAGAAGCTACATTTCCATGGAAAGGGGAATCAGAGCCAAGGAGTGATCTAAGAAATTCTCACACTCTCTCTGTGCGGAATGAATGGCGTGCGCATTTCAGACTGAGTCCTGGTGTGGGTTGGCGTGGAGAAGTGAGCCCAGTACCATTATGGCTGAAAAGTAAATAGTCTTGTGGGGACCTGCAGCTTGTGCGAGTGCTAAGGAAGCAGTGAGAAGCCACGCTTCCAGGCACTGTTCCTTCATTCAGCACGTAATTTTATTAGGCATCTATTTGGTGTCAGGCACTATCCTAGGCACTTTGGATCTACATGAATGAAACAAAGTCCAAACTGTCACAGAGTTTATATTCCAGGGAAGAAGCTAACAAAAACAAGTAGATACAGAGTCCCCACTTAGGCTCAGTCTTGCTTTCCATGGTTTCAGTTAACTGAGGTCAGCTGTGGTCAGGAAGCAGCTGATTCTCCTTCTGGTGCATACGCGGGAGGTCAATAGTAGCCTAACGCTACGACGCAGTGGCTACACCTTTTACTTCACTGCATCACGTAGGCATTTCATCATCTCACATCACCACAGGATGAAGGGTGAGTACAGTGCATTAAAGTATTTTGAGAGAGGGAAAGAAAGCCCATATTCACATAACTTCTATTACAGTATCTTGTTATAATTGTTCTATTATACTGTTATTGTTGGTATGCTCTTGCAAGAACTAATTTATAAATTAAAATTTATCAGAGCTATGTACGTATAGGAAAAAAACAGTATATATAGGGTTCTGTACTAACCATAGTTTCAGGCATCCACCGGGGATCTTGGAATATTCCCTGTGGCTAGGTTGAGGCCACTGTATATTATAAAATATATTAGAATATAAATTCTGTGGAGGGAAGATGTATAGGGAAGGAGGACAGGAGATCTTAGGTGAGAGGGGGGAAGAGTGCAATTTTAATAGGGTGGTTCCGGAAGTCCCTGTGAAGTAGATGATATTCAAACATGGAATAGACAGGGGGAGGGATGAATCTTGGGGTCACACCCAGGGACAAGGAATTCCAAGTGCACAGGTGCAGAGCTGGGAGCATTGTCTCATGCCTGGGTTCTAAAGAAGCAGGGAGAGCCCTCAGGGTTCTCTCCTTTCAACACTGGACTAGAACAAATACATCTTAAGCAGAACTGCTGTTTTAAGCCTGAGCTGTGAAAACATTGCTTTCCTAAATCCTAAACCCACGTACCCGAGGCAGAGAGGGTGACACCTAAGGAGACAGCCACACGTCATCAGCACAAGCCCTATGGGGAGGTTAGATCCATTGAGCAGCGTGCCCAGCTAAAACACTGGAGGCGGCCACAGAAATTACCAGCAACTACAGCTGCTACATCAGGATTTATAAGCTCTACATTTAGTAAAGGGAAGGGCACCTGGTGGCGAGATAGGAAAAAGAGGATTTGTAAAAATTACCTGGAAAGACTGAGCTAGGGAGTTGTTTTTTTTAAGCTTCATACCCAAAGCTGATATGGCTTGAACAAACACCTGCAAATCATGTAAAGTCATTATGAGGGGAGGGGAACCTGTCCACCTGTAAAAAGATGATTGGTGGATTATAAAAGGGTCCTCAATCTATGGTGCTGTGTAGTCTTAAAACTCCAATTATGTGTAAAGCCCTATAGAAATTAGTCTTCTGGCTTTAAAATACAGTTGTATATAGCCTAAATTGATAGCTATAAAAGTTTCATAATTTTCTGCATCTCTTGAACTATTGCTTATTATTAATTTTTTTATTTTTATTTTTTTGTTTAAAAAAATTTTTTTAACATTCATTTTTTTGAGAGACACAGTACAAGCAGGGGAAGGACAGAGAGAGGGAGACACAGAATCCGAAGCAGGTTCCAGGCTCTGAGCTGTCAGCACAGAGCCCCATGCGGGGCTCCAACCCACGAACTGTGAGATCATGACCTGAGCCGAAGTCAGACGCTTAACCGGTTGAGCCACCCAGGCACCCCACTTATTATTAATTTTTAATATGAATCTTAGATTTCTTTCTTCTCTTTGAATTTCCTTAAAGATTTTTGGGATGAAAAACCAAAACAAATATAAGTTACTCCTCAGCTACTAGTGCTTTAAAAAAAAACTTTTTTTTACATTTATTCATTTTTGAGAGACAGAGGGACAGAACCCAAGTGGGGGAGGGGCAGAGAGAGAGGGAAACACAGAATCAGAAACAGGCTGCAGGCTCCAAGCTGTCAGCACAGAGCCTGAAGTGGGGCTTGAACTGACAAACCCTGAGATCATGACCTGAGCTGAGGTCAGATGCTTAACTAACTGAGCCACCCAGGCACCCCTCAGATACTAGTGCTTTTATAGACCTTTCTTTGCATCAAATATTATAGCACACACATTTTTGTATGAAATATGTGACTAGAAAACAAAATTTAGTGAATGCAGTAAAACAAAGTGCTAACCAGAAATAAGTATTCTAGCCAGAAGTAGCCTATCTTAGGAATTTTATTTATTTACTTTTTATTTTTGTTTAAAGTTTATTTGTTTATTTTGAGAGAGCACACACACGTGCATGTGAGCTGGGGGAGGGGCAGAGAGACAGGGAGAGAGAGAGACTGAGAGAGAGAGAGAGGAGAGAGGAGAGAGACAGAAAGAATTCCAAGGAGGCTCCACACTGTCAGTGTAGAACCTAATGCAGGGCTCAAACTCACCAACCACGAGATCATGACCTGAGCTAAAATCAAGAGTTGGACACTCAACCAAGTGAGCCACCCAAGTGCCCCTCTCAGCAGTTTTAAATAAGAATTCAGATTGTGGTATTAACTGAGCAAAAGACAAAGGAAACAAGGAACCTATAGAAAATCAACTATTGTTTTTTGTTAGTATTTGTTTTATTTTGCAAGACCATTAGAGAATCGGCTTAAAAAAACTTTTTTTTTGTCCATTTCTTTTTTTTAAATATAATTTATTGTCAAATTGGTTTCCATACAACATCTAGTGCTCATCCCAACAAGTGCCCTCCTCCATGCCCATCACCCACTTTCCCCTCTCCCCACCCCCATCAACCCTCAGCAAAATAACTTCTGTATTGTACAGGTTATTCACAGAGATGGAATTCCAGTTCAAAATAAAGGAAAGAATAATAGTATTTATTATATATATATATATATAGAGAGAGAGAGAGAGGGAGAGAGGATACATATGTCGTACTTCAAAAAGTGTATGTTTGAAACTTTTTCTTGCTCTATCTTACTTTTTTTTTCCACTATGATTTCTTCTCTTTAGTTTTAAAGGCTTACATTAGATTTTTTAAAGTATGCTATATATTTTACAAATTCTCTAAAATAATTTTCTCTCTTAAATACCATCCTTACCCTACTACCAAAAATATTAATGATGAACTACTTTGGTGCTGGGAGAAGAAAAAGGGGAGGTTGGATCCACATTTTACTGTAT